TAAAAACCAACAGGTGATCGATTCTTCCTGATCTTCACTGATCTGCCGTTCACATGGACCCGATTTATAATCTGCCTCCCACCGTCCTGGTGCACAGGACCACCCCAAGAATGCATAAAACAAGAAACGTCCACTAATTAGTCTTTATTGGTGAATAGATGGTCCCCAGCTTGTAACCGCGAATGAAATGTGAGTTGTTTTCAGTAGAAGCCGTCACCTTTTTTTTTTTTAAGGCGAAGGAGATGGAAATGCACGTCTACTTAAACTCCATTTTTAATTTAAAAAAAAACACCAAGGCGAAAAGATTTGTAATTATCTCCAGCGACTTTCTGTTTTTTTTGTTTTTGTTCGTCCTTCTGTTTTTTTGGGGGGGACAGACGGCGTCTCCTTTGCTCGTGTCGTTTGATGGTGATGTTCAGTGGCGCCAGGTGCCCACAGGGCGGCGCTGTGGCCGGCTTTGTTTTTGAGTCAGGCAGCGCGTCGGCCGCCAAAGACGGCGCGGAGGACCCCGCCTCCCCCCGTGCGCGTGTATAAGACGGGCTGCACGTGAGTCTCGCTTCCTTCTCGTCGCTGGTCCTGCAGGCATGGCGGAGGTGAGGCGGCTGTCCTGGGGTCTTAACGGGATATTATTATTATTATTATTATTATTATTATTATTATTATTAGCATTAGCATTAGCATTAGCATTAGCAGTCTGAGGGGTGTTAGGTGTTCATAAATACCGCTTAGGCTGCAGTCCACGTCTCAACTTGAGGAATGTTTTACATGTGCGTTGGACCTTGCATCGGAACCGGGCAGGGTGACCGGACCGGCCTGTGTTCTTCTGAAATGACTTGTCATTTGTAGCAGCTGGGCCTTGATAATGCGGTTTTTGGACAAAATAAGACGCCAGAAGTTGGATGTAATTCGGGAGCGCGCGGCCTCGTCCGCGGGGGCGCGCCTGGCGGGGGACGCGCGCGCGATGATGAGCCAGCAGACTAGAGTCTCTGATGACGTCATGAAGCTCTTTCACAGTGCACTGAGCGCGCTCCCCGCCACGGAGACCATGTGCGTCTGTGTGTGTGTGTGTTGGGTGGGGAATCTCGCTCGCTTTCACGCGTGTTGGGTGGGGTGAGCATCTGTAACGGGGCGTGTATTAATGCGTGCGCGCGTTCCCAGGGTTCGGGAGACGAGCCGTCCCGGGGGGCGGTGGAGATCCCGGACTACACGCAGAGAGGCGGGAGGAGGAGACTTCGGGTACGTGACGCTGCGGGTTTCTCTTCCGGCTGCGTTGGTCTCTTCCGGGTCGTTGGAAGAGCTTCCTCGGTCCCGTTTTCCGGCCGGTTTGGAGTCGCGAAAGCGGAGCTGTGGGACCGCCGGGACTGTTGGGTTGGCGTCTAAGGGGCGTGTTGCTGCACCCCCAAAATCGGTTTGCAGGGGAGGGGAGGGGCTTCTGCTGTAGTGCTGTCCATGTGGAGTCTGCACGTTCTCCCTGCGGTCGGGTGGGCTTCATCCCACAGACCAGCAAGTTAACGGGTTGGGGTCTGGGAGAACTGGCTCTGGAGTGTGTGCCTGTGGGTCAGGCGGGGTGGACGTGTGGGCGCCGGTGTGGTGGTGTCCAGGCACTGACCTTTCTTCATTCCTTCCAGGGGGTGATGTAGCGTTTGACCGGGTGCTGGGCGCCTGGCCAGTTGGACCTCAAGGTGAGCCTTTGAAGTGCATTTGAAATTGGGGTGGTGGGGTAGGAGGTGCATCCTTACACCGACAGTGGTAGGGGTGGGGAACAAGCGGCCCAGTCCGTGTGGTTGAAGCCGATACCCCGGCTTCTCTCCAGACACAGCTGGGTGAGCTCCTCCAGTCAGGACAGG